AAGTCCTAATGGCTAAATAAATCTCTAAATGCTCTTTCAAAAATAACATTTGACAGCATGAAAAAGACATTTTCTAACTTTAAGCTATTATTCATCTTCAAGATTTCAGCAACTTGAAATCTAACCCCCCAAAAAATCAACTGAAACATAAAAAGAACAAAGACTATCTCAACAATTTTATTCCCCTACCTTGGCCTACTCCTTTTGGGAACTGGAACCCAGTAGCATAAATAAACTAGCATAACCAGTGTCACTGTCCTGGAGTACATCTGGGTGGGGACAAAAATTCCAGTTTTCTCTGTTTTCCAAGAACTCCATTCCCTATCTGGAAATTTGTGATGGGAAAACATCCACTACTGCTGCTAAGGGGGTTAGAAGCAGCTGAGTCACCCTCTTAGAAATGTAACCTAAGGACGCTGAGATGGCTCTAGATAGGTTATACCAAATAACCAATTTATTGGTTTCTTCAGACCATCTTGACACTGCTCCTTTCCCCTGAGGTAGTTTCAACTGGACTTAAACCAGAGCCTGAAACTTCAGTTGGTAGCTTACAGAAAGGCCTCACTACAAATCAGAATTATCACCTGCAAGTTATCTTAGGCATTAGTGAGCTGAAATGAACCAGTTTTGGCCATTTTGAGTCAGACAACCATATGATCTACTATGCTGGGAATGAAAAATTGAAGAGGAATGGTGTGGCATTCATCATCACAAAGGATGTTTCAAGATCTGTCCTGAAGTGCAATGCTGTCAGTGATAGGATAATATCCATACACCTACAAGGAAAGCCAGTTAATACTACTGTTATTCAAATTTACGCACCAATCACCAAAGCTAAAGATGAGGAAACTGAACATTTTTATCAAATTCTGTACTCTGAAATTGACCGAACATGCAATCAAGATGTGTTAATTATCACTGGTAGTGGAATGCAAAAGTTGGAAACAAAGAAGAATCACCAGTAGTTGGAAAATTTGGCCTTGGTGACAGAAATAACACTGGAGATCGCATGATAGAACATGTGCAAGACCAACAACTTATTCATTGCAAAAACCTTTTTTCAACACAAATGGTGACTATACACATGGACTTCGCCAGACAGAGTACCCAGCAATCAGATTGACTACATCTGTGGCAAGAGGAAGGAGCTCTGGTAGCATAGTGCCTAAGGCATTTTGACTGCTAACCAGAAGGCTGGTGGTTCAAACTCACTGGCCACTCGTCAGAAGGAAAGTTGGGCAATCTACTTCCGTAGTGATATTGCCTCAGAAACCCAAAGAGGGGTCGCTATGAGTCAGGTCCAACTCAACGGCACATAACAACAACAATAATGTGGCAAGAGACAATAAAAAGCTCAATATTTTCAGCCAAAACAAGGCCAGGAGCTGACTGTGGAACAGACCATCTATTGCTCAAATGCAAGTTCAACTTGAAGTTGAAGACAATTAAAACAATTCCACGAGAGCCAAAATATGACCTGGAATATATCCTTCCTGAATTTAGAGACCATCTAAAGAATAGATTTGAGCCTCAACACCAAAGGAATTAATAATCCAATTGAAAAATGGGCAGAAGACATGAAGAGACACTTCACCAAGGAGGATATTCAGGTGGCCAGCTAATACATTAAGAGATGCTCACAACCATTGGTCATCAGGGAGATGCAAATCAAAACAACAATGAGATACCATCTCATCTCAGCACTGATGGCAAGGTACAACAAGACTGAAAATAACAAATGCTGGTGGGGATGTGAAGAGATTGGGACTCTCACACACTGCTGGTGGGACTATGAAGTGATACAAACACTGTGGAAAGCAGTATGGAGATTCCTAAGAAAACTGGAACTGAAGATGCTATTTGACCCAGCAATACCATTACTAGGTATATATCCTAGAGAGGTGAGAGCCAGGACAGGAACAGATATATGCACACTCATGTTCATTGCAGCACTATTTACAATAGCAAAAAGATGGAAATAACCTACGTGCTCATCAACAGAAAAGTGGATTCCAATCTATGGTACATACACACAATGGAATGCTATGCAGCACTAACAAATAATGTCGAGTCTGCAAAATACCACATAATATGGATGACATTCTGTTGAGTGAAATAAGTCAATCATAGAAGGAAAAATATAGTATTAGTTCGTTGTTGTGGAGGGTCAAGGAAAGGTTTATATATGGAGGGAAACTTTCTTTGTTGGTTGCCAGAGGTGGAAGGGGAGGGGAGGGAACACTGCCAACAAAAAAAAAAAAAAAAAATGCATTGACCCATGTCACTTTAGTTTTGTGTATTTCACTGTAAATAAATTATATTTCAATAAATGCATTTTTTAAAAAAAGGAAGAATAGATTTGATGCTGTGAATACCAATGACCGAAAACCAGAAGAATTGTGGGATGACATCAAGAGCATTATCCATGAAGAAAGCAAGAGGTCACTAAAAAGATGAGAAAAGAAGAAAAGGCCAAAATGGATGTCAGAAGAGACTCTGAAATTTGCCCTTGAGCAGAGAGTAGCTACAGCAAATGGAAGAAATGGCAAGATAAAAGAGGTGAACAGAAGATTTTAAAGAGCAGCTCAAGCAAACAAAGCCAATTACTATAATGAAATGTGCAAAGACCTGGAGTTAGAAAACCAAAAGGGAAGATTGCGTTTGGCATTTCTCAAGCTGAAAGAACTGAGGAAACAATTTAAGCCTCGATTTTCAATATTGAAAGATTCAATGGGCAAAATATTGAATGATGCAGGAAGCACCAAAAGAAGATGGAAGGAACACACAGAGTCACTGTACCAAAAAGAATTGGTCTATTTTCATCCATTTCAGGAGGTGGTATATGTACAAGAACCAATGGTATTGAAGGAAGAAATTGAAGCTGCACTGAAGGAATTGACAAAGAACAAGCCTCCAGGAATTGATGGAATACCCATTAAGAAATTTCAACAAATGGATGCCCCACTGGAGGCACTCATTCGGTTTTGCCAAGAGATTTGGAAGATAGCTCCCTGGCCAACTGACTAAAAGAAATCTATATTTGTACCCATTTCAAAGAAAGGTGATCCCACAGAATGTAGAAATTATCAAACAATATCATTAATATTGCATGCAAGTAAAATCTTACTGAAGATAATTCAAAAATGGTTGCAGCAGTATATTGACAAAGAACTTCCAGAAATGCAAGCTGGATTTAGAAGAGGAAGTAGAACAAGGGATATCATTGATGATGTCAGATGGATCTTGGCTCAAAGCAAAGAATACCAGAAAGATGTTTACCTGTGTTTTATTGATCATGCAAAAGCATTTGATTTCATGGATCATAACAAACTGTAGATAACATTGAGAAGAATGGGAATTCCAGAACACTTAATTGTACTCATGAGGAACCTGTACAAAGACCAGAAGGCTGTCATTTGAACAGAACAAGGGGACACTGCATGGTTTAAAATCAAGAACAGAGTGTGTCAGGGATGTATCCTTTCACCGTACTATTCAATCTATATACTAAGCAAATAATCCAAGAACCTGGACTGTATGAAGAAGAATGTGGCATCAAGATTGGAGGAAGCATCATTAACAACGTGCAATACACTGACAACACAACACTGCTTGCTGAAAGTGAAGATGACTTGAAGCACTTACTGATGAAGATTCAAGAATACAGTCGGCAGTATGGATTACATTTCAATATAAAGAAAATAAAAATCCTTACAACTGGACCTATAAGCAGCATCATGATAAATGGAGAAAAGATTGAAGTTGTCAAAGACTTCACATTGCTTGGTTCTATAATCAACGCCAATGGAAGCAGCAGTCAAGACATCAGACGATGTACAGCACTGGGCAAGTCGGCTACAAAAGATCTGTTCTGGTTACCTAGTGCCACTCTGACAGGAATATACCACAAATGAGACGGCTGAACAAACAGGAGTTTATTTTCTTACAGTTGAGAGGCTTTAAGTCTGAGTTCAAAGTGCCAGGCTCTAGGGACTGTGTGAAAGCCCCTCCACCTTGGGCTTCAGCTCTGCCTCTTGCTCCCAGCCCATTGAAACTAGAGGCAGCTACTGGCTGCTGAGGTTAACAAGCCCAAGGCCAACAAATAAAATGGCACAGTCCCAATGTTACCAAACCACATGGCACGCCATTAATACAAGTCCATTGAAAGCCCCAAGGTCAGCAGAGCATGGCAGACTGCTGAACAATGACACAGCTACATGCAGGGTTCAAGTGTACCATAAGACCATTTCCCAAGGCTTTTCTTTATATACAGGAAGCAGACCACATCCCTAAGGCAGCTACTCAGCTGCTCACAGTAGATTCCACCACGGAGTTGATTACCAGTCTCATCATGGGGAATACTACATCCAGCTGCCCAGCCACTCAACCAAGCCCAACCAAGTTGACACACAAACTTAACTACCACATGATCTCTTTCATGCATGTGAGAGCTGGACAATGAATAAGGAAGACTGAAGAAGAGTTGATGCTTTTGAGTTGTGGTGCTGGTGAAGAATGCTCAGAGTACTATGGACTGCTAAAAGAACTAACAAATCTGTCCTAGAAGAAGTGCAGCTGTAATGCTCCTTAGAAGCGAGAATGGTTAGACTTCATCTCACCTACTTTGGTCATGTTGTAAGAAGAGACCATTCCCTGGAGAAGGATATCATGTGCGGTAAAGAGGAAGGTCAATGAAAGAGGAAAAGGCCCTCAAGAAGATGGATTGACACAGTAGCTACAACAATGGGCTCAGGTATGGCAGGGACCATGCAGCTGGCACAGGACTGGGCAGTGTTTCGTTCTGCTGTACATAGGGTCACTATGAGTCAGAGATAACTCAACAGCACCTAATAACAACATCAGTGGCTCCATCCCACTGAACTACCAACTAAAAGAAAAATGAGTAGAAAGTGGAAGTAACCACAGGAAAATATATATGAACTAGTTTTAACACACATAAACTTGAACACTCTATGTACTCTTAAATTAAATATACCCACCTGATCATTTTGATCTTCAAGTTTCAGAGTAAAGCTGGAAATTGTTGGGGAGTCTGCTGAGAGCTCCTGGAGTTTTGTATCAATTTCAGCAAGCAGCTGATGCTCTGTAACCGCAAGTGTGTATCCCTCTCCTGGGACCAACCAGCCAGACTGATCACCCTAATGGGAAGCAAAGGTCACCTGATCATTCTCATGCTATTAAAATGGACTCTTTGGACTGCTAAGACAATGGCCATGCTGACAAGGGGCAAGGTTGTGGTCATTGCTTGGTCACAGCCAGCTACCCAGAGGGACCAAGTAGCTGCAGGCTTTGGACCATAGTCGCAGGGGACATCAAGCTCAATTGGCATAACATACTATATAAAACATTGTTCTACCTCCTACTTTGGCAAGTAGAGATTGGGATCTTAAAAGCTAGCAAGCTGCCATCTAGATGCAACAATGGGTCTCTCCTTGTCCAGAGCAAAGAAAAATGAAGAAAACCAAAATTCATGG